GATATATCAGTAGAGATTTCTTATAAATACAACGCATTCTATATATATATGTATATAACTTTTGTAATTAAAATGATGAAAGTGTTAAACACATAAATGTTTCCCTTTAGTAACACGATGGAGAAATGAGAAAACTTACAGTGTCGAGGCTAACAGGCTTCCCGTCTTCTGCAACGATATCCACTATGGTTCCAGTTTGGTCAGACTGAAGAGAAAAAGTTGAAGTGTCAGAACTGAATCAAAAGGGAATATTCTCAGATTTTTCAAACTCAAAGGTGAAGAACTGAGTTCTGCCAATGTAATGTAAAACATATCTAGAAGAGTATATGCACAAAATGAAGAAAAGTCGAGCTAATTCACCATTAAGTTGGAAACAATTTGGTAAGAGAAGATTTAGGTTAATCTAGAGTTCTGACGTATAGTAACCAAGACAGATGCTAGTTGTAGTTAAGAGGATTTAGGAACTCACCTCTATTTCATTCATCAACTTCATGGCTTCAACGATGCAGAGAACTTGTCCCTTCTGCACTTTATCTCCAACCTATAGCATCAAGATAGTCATATAGTACGAATTCAGATTGTGAAATGCAGCAGCAGCAGCATAATTTGCAAAAATATGGAAAATTTGCTGGTTATGGCAAGACAGATGCTATTTGTTTGTTTAACAAAAAAGCAGGTCTTTAGAGTTTATGTGCAATTATATACAAACAATTAGCAAATATCCTAACCTTGATAAAGGGTGGTTCACCAGGTGCTGGACTACGGTAGAACGTGCCAGCCATGGGGCTTTTAACTGTAGGAAGCGATGATTTAGCTGGAGTAGGTGCGGATGGTGGAGGCAGGGAGGCTGGACTTGAAGGGGCTGGTGAGGCAGCAGGTGCAGAGGGAGGAGGCATTGATTGTGCATAAGATGGTTGATTTGGTTGCTGCATCATAACATATTGTGTTGGGGATTGGGGCTGAGGTAAAGCCTCCTTTTTTCGAATGACTAGTTCACAGTCAAGTTGTTTCAACTGCAACTCGACGATGTCTCTAGAATCCACAAGCCTGCATGATGGAGGTGAGTATTCAACCATACGAATAACATGATTGAATAGAAGAACAGGGGAACAAAACTTACTTGACAAGAGTTGTTACTTGGGTAAGGAACTCAGAGATAGACTCTTCTGTTGCCAAATCAGGT